CCTCTGAATTTCATGTTTAATGAGCTGTTCAACGTTCTTATAAAGAAATACATTCTGTTTGTAGGTACAAGCATCCAAATTATCTTAGGCTTAAAGAAACTTTATTTTTAGGAAACGGTCTATGACTATAATATGCATATATAAGAACATACAAAGTTATATGTAAGCTTTTCTTTGGGTTAATAGCTAGATTTGTACAAGGACACCTTTTGTTAACAAATTTACTTTGCTTTGACTCCCTCAAGGCCCAAGAGGACCAGATTCTGGTTTTTCTCATCTTTGAATTTCCACTGGTTTTCTGCAAGGAAAGTGCTTTGACCAAAAATATAAAGAAGCTTGATTCAAGGCAGATGGTAGCATCTTATTTCTCACCCACACTCCAGTACTCTCCTCCTTAACTCTGCTGAGGGTCAGAGGGGCAGGGGAAGATGTCAGGAAGCAAGCACAGGGTGCAGATGTGGGTTCCAGCACTGGCACTGCAGATCGTTAACCCTCTCTGGGCCTCACCTGTGCCATCTAACCTACAGGGGAGAATTGGCTGGGGTGCCCGTTAAGTGTGATCTGTGGAAGGCTTCATCTAGGGGTTGGTAAGCAGTATGGAGACAAAGGTGTTGTCCCAGCCCTATGCACTCAAAATCTGCCTTTTAACAGAATCACTCATAGGCATAGGCGTGCACAAGACTAAGAAGCACAAGTCACACTTTTTCCAGAGCTGGGCCAGCATTACATTGCCTGAATGGGAGTGCCCTCTACTGGCTCCAAAATGAAGCACTTTCTTTAGGAAATGCTTCCCTTGTGTCTCCTTCTGCTGGTTGTTCAATGTTCTCAAATGGAGCTCAAAGCTCCATCACCTACACAGGGCACAGGGACTATGAGAATGAGCATGGGACCTTGAATTTTGGAAAGCAAACTACGCCTGCAGCCTGGAAGGATCCTCTGACTCCCAGTTGCAGCAGTCCACTTTCCCAATGTCTCATCCTTGTCACTTCCACTTTAACAGGAGGCAACAGAAAGCAGAAGTTTGACCAGTGATGAGATTGTCATGGCTTAGTCACTAGCCAGCTCTGAGACTTTCAGCAAATGACTTACCTGTTAGCCCAGTTTCCTCTTTTGCCAGTTGAAAGTGGGCATCAAGATGAGAACAGCAGGACCTCTCCTGCTGGCAGGTGGTAACAAATGTAAAAAGAACTTTGAAAACCTGATATATTTCACATGTTACAGTGTATGTTTTTTTGGATGCCACTAGTGTAACTGGCTGCTCTGGTGCAGACCTGGCCAATCCCAGCCCCACCTGAGTAGCTCTGCTGATACATTGGCCTAATGCTCTTTATTCTAATTATTTGTCTAGATCAGGGTTTCTCAGCCTTGGAACTACTGACATTTGGGCCCAGATAATTCTGTCTTATGAGGGCCATTCTGAGCATTGTAGAATGTTGAGCAGCATCCTGGTCTCTATCCACTAGATGCCAGCAGCACCTCCACCCAAACATATAGAGTCATGGCAATCAAAAATACCTTCAGACACTGTGAAATGTCCTCTGGTTGGGGGTGGGTGCAAAATCACCCCCAGTCATTGAGAACTGCTCTGGATTGTTCAGAAGTGTCTATATACAATGTTCTGGCTACCTGAAGGGAAAGATACAGAAAATGTTTCCATCCCCAGAGCACTGGTGGGGGTGGGGGGCAGGGGGGAGGATGGAATAAGAGCAAACAAGACATCATCTAGTTAGGAAAAGGTTTAATCATTCTAATGTTTTGTAGCACTTACATAATTTAGAGATCATTTGTCTCAATCTTCCAATGACTCAGGTTGGACGGCATTCTCCTTACAGACTGAGGAAATCAAAGCACAGAGAGGCTGTCACTTGCTCACCATGACTGGTCCACAAGAACCGTTAAGTGTAGAGATGGTGCACACTAGTGAGAAAACTGGGTTGTGGACGTGGGAGTGTTTAGAAATGGGAGTTATGGAGGGGGATGTTCCAGCATCATTGATTTTCAACTTTTCCACCACACATGATGGATAATATTCACCATAACAATATATCCAAGAGGCATAACAAATATATATGTAATTCTCACCTTGTTACTTTCTTACAGGAAGGCAAAGAAAGCATTCCAATCATTCATAATTGTCATAGGTCACCCATCACTCAGGGTGTATGTGTGTGTTCTTGCACATGTTTAATTCCTCAGGGAGTGTGTCTATCTGCACACATGTTTTGGGGGTGATGTGGCATAGTTAAGAGAATGTTAGGTTTTCTCATTTTGTACCCCCTCTGTCTCAAGCGTCACCTTTCTCCACTGTTCAGGGAAGCACTAAGGAATGTAAGCAAAAGTCCTGTAGCCATCCTGAACCTTCCTCTGACAATCAAACTGAGCATGCCACTCCAGGACGCTGCAGCTTCTGGGCTGAAGGTCCTGTTTGTTATACAAGAGCAGACAAAAGAAGCCACACAGGCGTGCAGGTTGAAATGATACTTCCATGGGCACAACTCTGGGGGAGCCAACACATTCCATTCTATGAAAGCAGTGATCCAGAGTTACTGGGCACAGCAGCAAAGGTTATGAACACTGTAGCAGACAACATCCAGGAGGAAATGGGCCACATCCCAGAAGCCCCCAAAGGTAGGGAGAGGCATTAATGTTCAGCAACACATCGGTTACAAGTGCGAGTTTTGCAGTCAAGCAAACTGGGCCTGAATCCCACTTCTGTTTCTATGTACTGTCTCACTCAGTCTTTCAGCTTTCTTATCTTAAAATGGGTGCTTGTGAAAACTGCACACACCATGGATGTGCATAGAGGTTAAATAGTACCCAGCATACGGCAAATGCTCAAATGATAATTTGACTTACAAAGTCACAGTTTTCATGCTCTGGGGATTAATTACCTTTTAGGAGCCACATGCTGAACTGTGTCTAAAAGGCCAACAATATCGTTTGAATAACCAGCAAGTCTTAACATTCCTCCAAGCGTGGCTAACAATAGGCCTTTTACACATTCCTGTTCCTCTAAGCTTTATTTTTATTTTTAAAAAATATTTTATTGTTTATACTATTAGAGTTGTCCCAATTTTTCCCCCTTTGCCCCAGTCCACCCAGCCCACCTCCACTCCCACAGCCAGTCTCCACCACTGTCCATGTCCATGGATCATTTACGTATGTTTGATTAATCCCTCCACCTTCTTTGAGCCAGTCCCTACTTCCTCCCTCCCCTCTTACAGCTGTTAGTCTGTTCTATGTTTCCATGCCTCTGGTTCAATTTTGCCCATTATTTTGTTCATTAGATTCCACTGATAACCAAGATCATATGGTATTTGTCTTTCACCAACTGGTTTATTTCACTTAGCATAATAAGTCTCCAGTTTCATCCATGCTGTTGAAAATGTAAGAATTCCTCCTTTTTTACTGCTGTGTAGTATTCCATTGTGTAAATGTACCACAACTTTTCAGAGTCCAGAGTGCTAACCATTACACATTGGAACCCTCCTTACCACAACTTTTTATCTACTCATCTACTGATAGGCACTTAATCTGTTTTCAGTTCTTGGCTCTGAACATAGGGGTGCATAAGTTCCTTTGAACTGTTTAGGGATTCTTAGGATACATTGCCAGAAGTGGAGTCATTGGGTCAAAAAGTAGTTCCATTTTTAATTCTTTGAGGAAATTCCATACTGTTTTCCATAGTGGCTGCACCAGTCTACATTCTCACCAACAGTGCACTAGGGTTCCTTTTCTCCACCTCCTCACCAGCACTTGCTGTTTGTTGATTTATTGATGATAGCCATTTTGGCAGGTGTGAGGCGGTATCTCATTGTGATTTTAATTTGCATCTCTTTGATAGCTAGTGATGTTGAGCATTTTTTTTCGTCTACTGGCCCTCTGTCCTCTTTGGAGAAGTGTCTGTTCAGGTTCTTTGCCCATTTTTTAACTGGATTGTCTTCCTGGTGTGGAGTCATTTAAGTTCTTCATATATTGTGGGGATTAAACCCTTGTCCAATGTATTGTTGGCAAATGTATTTTCCCATAGTGGGTTCCCTTTCCATTTTGATGATGGTTTCTTTAGCAGTGCAGAAGCCTTTTCATTTGATGTAGTTCTAAATGATAGTGTACTTTGCCTTTTGACAGCTGTCCTTCACAGGTCTATTCTGTGGCAGGTGCTGTGCTGAGTTCTGTGTATTTCACTTAGTTTCATTGGCAAAGGTTTTAGGACCCAGGGAGTGTGACAAAGTCTGACCTGATAATATGAATACTCCATGTATTGGCAAGAATTGGCAGTTCTTCTCTAGCAGAGGGGAAAGGCACTTTCAGTGACACATGTAACTGTCATGGGTTGCTGAAATTTTCCAAATTAAGGCCTTTATGTCCACAGTGGCAAGTAGTCCACATTTGTTTCTGTCTGCCTAGCAAACATTTCCTTTTCTTCTGACATTCCTTTGCAAGGCTACTCTCATGTCTCTGCACCTCAGCACCCCCAACCTATGTAGAAGCAGTCGGGCTGACCTACACCCTCTCTTGGTTCCTGAATATACATGTTCTAGCCCTGACCTATCAGCATATTCCACTCACCCTGGTCACTGTGATTAGTCCCAGGTTGCTCACATGACCCAAATCTAATCAGAACCAAACCCAGAATATGTGTATATACTACATGCACGCAGGGTGGGCCTGCCCGAATAAACACTCACACCAAGGAAAGCAGTGCTGGGCCACGAGGGATGAGATGCCAAAGGATAACACTGCAGCTTGGACCCAGCAGTATTTGAGACCTACCCCTGGCTTTTCAGTAGATGAAAGGAATCCGTCCCCCAAAACCCCTCATTTTTAAGCCATTATGAATTGTCTGTCACTAGCAACTAAAATAAAAAGCCCTATTACCCAGGATCTGCCATGAAATCGACAAAGAACAGGGGGGGGTCTGATGTCTAGAGAGGAAGGAAATAAAGAGTAAAAGAAAAAAGCTCATCAAAACAAATATTTATTGAATAAAATACCACAGCTAATAAACCACTTACGTAGAAATTCCATAGGATTTTGAAAATTTATATAGTCCTTTAGCATTTGTATAGAACTTCTTAAAGAAATGGCTTAACAGGACAAGTTCTTTAAAACAATACAAAAGTATCAAATGCAAAGAGTAACAGCACTTAACAGTACTCAACAGTGGAAGCTATTCCATTAGACTTTTTCAAAAATGCTCTGACTATAAAATTAAGTTTGGATTCTGTTTTCCAACTTTGAGTGTCCATTACTGATCAATTTTGCTGTTCTTTCTGATAAAAAACTAATAAAACAAAAGAATTTCTTCTGTTTTGGATATTTTCACCCTAACTCTTGTTTCAAATGAGTGGAGAAAGAAACAATTTCTCTCATTGCTAAAAAAAGAAAAAGAAAGAAAAAGAGGGAAGGAAAGGAGGGAGGGAGAGGGAGACAGAAAAGGGGGAAAGAGAGGGAGGAAGGAAAGAGAGGGAGGGAGGAAGGAAAGAGAGGGAGGGAGGAAGGAAAGAGAGGGAGGGAGGGAGGGCGGGCCACCCATAACTGCCCCAAATTAAGATCCTTTTGTCAAGTTGACCTTGGGGCCAAGTTGCTAGTCTCCAGAGGTTCAGGACCAGACCAAGGTCAAGCCTCCATCTTTTGGGAGAAGGAGGTGAGAGGTGGGAGGAGCTGCTGAGCCATGGCGGTTCTTAAGTGGCTACTCTAGGATCCTACAAACAAATGAAAAAGCTAGAGGACACATCCAAGGAGTGTGTAACTACTTAGCATCTTCTGAGTCATAATCCCAAGGGGGATGTGTGATCCAATAACCTTCCAGAGATGACTGGAAAAAAGTTCTTGTTCTGTTCACCTGGTCGTTCCTGGCAGAGCCCCTCTAAGTTTGTAGACTTCATAGCCAGCTGACAGTTGCCACCAGAATTTTCTGTCAGTGGTCTGTTTGATAACAAAAGAAAAAGGTTAACTGTAGGGCCTCTTTAAAGAGCAATGCTGAGAGTATACACAGCTGAATGTGACATTCTTTATTTATTTTTAGTTACTTGTTGTAACCATACCAGATTTGGGACTATACCAATTTTACAGGTGAGGAAACTAAAGGCACAAGGGGTTGTTCAAAAGACTAAGCTGGGGGTAAGGATGCTGTCCCCTGTCCCCTCTTCTTATTGGGATATTGTATTTTCCCCTACTGTTTGTCCTCACAACAATCCAGGGAAAAAGGCAAAGCAAGGAGTATCTCTATTTTACCAATGAAAAAAAACTCCCCTGGCCAGGTAGCTCAGTTGGTTAGAGCATCATCCCAATACACTAAGGTTGTAGGTTCGATCCCCAGTACGGGCACATACAAGAAGCAGCCAATGAATGCCTAAATAAGTGGAACAACAAATTGATGTTTCTTGTTCTCTCTCCCCCTTCCTCTCTCTTTCTAAAATCAATAAGTAAATAATAAAAAGTAAAAAGTAAAAAAGAAAAGAACACTGAGAACAGAGAACTTAAGCAGCTTGTTCAAGATAACAAAGCTAAAAAAAAAAGGCAGAGCTGGGATTCAGTCCCATACCTTCAGATTCTAATTAATAGACTACATATTTCTTGAACACTTCAACTGGCAGGGAGATGTAGAAATAGGTAGGTCTTTTTTAGTCCCTATCATGGGAAGTTTCAGAGAGAAGTGCAAGGTGAGGTAGTGGTATTGATTTTAACTTAACTCGATCTATGAATTACTTAGAATTTCAAATAGTCTTGCCAACACTGACACCCACTGTCACACCAGAGCTTGGGTGACAAACACATTCCCAAGGTCCACCTCCTTGTGAGACAGAAGCTGAGAAAACTGAACACTTCATCACATGGCTTCCCTTCCAGCTTGGAGTGGCCATCTGACAAAATTCTAGCCATGGAGGCTGGTTGGGAGAGGATGGGGAGAGGTCCTGAAAAAAATCACTTACTTGATAGAAACTGCCAGACTCAATTGGTGAGAGATCATTTTTTCCTCCCTTCATCCTGCCTTGAAGGTAGTTACTAGCCAGAGCCATAGCATCTTTCTTGTAGCTATGAGGTGACAAACCAATTGGCTCAAGATGGCCTGGCAGAAAGGCAAAAGGTGCCCAGTATGTTAACATCACAGGATGGTTACGGAAGCCCTCTCTGGGCTATCTCCAGCTTTTTGTTATGCAATTTAAAAAACCCTCCTATTTGTTTAAGCTATTTGCTTCTGTTTTTGTTTTGTTTTGTTTTGTTTATTTGACATCCATAGCATTCCTACCTGCTAACAAAAAAGGAACACTTAACTCTCCTTAGGTAGAGAAGGAAACGAGACATACTCTGGTTGCTTGGGAGATTGAGTTGGTATATGGTACATGATGTGGTGGCTTGAAAACAGACACAGGCTTCCCTGGCTCCCCATTTAGGCCAAAATGCAGACACTGGGAAGTCTCGCTGATGCACTATCAAAGCATCATGGTCTTTCCTTCTCAAACTCAAAGGCTAGTTTATATACACGGGAGATAGGTCAATGAATTTCTTCAAAAGATTGCTTATTCAGTTTTCACTAGAACATCTTACAGCTTTGTTTCCTTTTTGTAAAAAAAAACTTTAGTTGTGTTATCTTCTGTTTTAAGGTCAAAATTCCATTTGCATCATGGCATAAAGTGGATACTTCCTCTTTTTCCCCCTATGCTTTGGGTCATTTAACAAGAGAATTACCTGTTTCTTGAGTTTTGAAGAATTCACTAGTATAAGGTTTTCAGGTGACAACTATTTTCATAATAATATAACATACAACATGTCTTTTTCACTCTCAGTCTTAAGTTTTTCACATTATATCTGAAGAGCTGCGTGACTTAGTGAACCAATATTCTCTAATGACCAGTGCATGAATGAAGTTACAAAATCATACATGGTAAAATAAAGGGGTGGGGGAATGCTGGATGGAGCAGGGTGCAGGGAAGAAGGGGATAAAGGGGAGGAAAAAAAAGGAACAACTGTAATAGCATAATCAATAAAATATGCTTAAAAATGTTAATACTATAACAAGGAAGGACATATAGCAGAAACTCAACAAATGCTAGCATAATTTTTAAAAAGTACAAGATAGGCCAGTGGATTTTAATATAACAAAGAAGAGCAGGGCATTGAGTCACACTTTTTTGTTATAGCATTGCTGAGATATCATAGGAACTTAATACTTGTATATATCATTTACCTATGGTAACAGTGGTTTCATACGCCATTTTGCTTAAAGTCTCAGAACTTATTGATGACTTTAAGTGAGGACTTGTACAAAAAGTTATTTCCTTTAACCATTAAGAAACTACCACTTAGGGAGTTTTGATATTCTACCAAAGAACATCCCTAGTCATCTGAAAAAGCATTTCCTTTCTTTTCCAACCACATATATGTGAGGTTGGGTCTTCTTCAAATATTTATTATCATAACAGAATGAATGCAGATGCACAAATGAGAACCTGCCAACACATACTAGGGCAGATATTAAAGATCTCTGCAAAATGTGAAACAAAGCCACTAATTTCCTTTTGCATTGGAAAACATAGTTACTTTCATAAAAATGTTCTTTATACCAACAGGTAATATTGTTGTTTTTAAATAAATAAATATTTCCCAAGTTTCCATATAAATAATTATCAATACACTGAAACCACATAAACAAAAACTTTATGAAAGATTCATTATTTTTAAGAAGGTAAAATGGGACCTGGGAGCAAAAAGGTTGAAAACTGTGGCCATAAAACAATGGGTCTGGGAGAAGAGAAGGAAAAAGAGACCAAGGACAAATCCTGAATATCTTATTCAATCTCTTCATTGATAAACAGGTGGTATTCCAATTTTGCTACTTCCTGTAGTATAGCAGAGCAGGGTTCAGAGGCAGGGAGGGATGTGGGCTCAGAAGCATCAGCCTCAATAAGCCAAACAAACCAGTATTTCTCTTTTAAAGACTAAAAGTGATTAAAATAATTTATGTAACTTCAAGGATATCAGCTAAGCTCAAGGACTATTCTGTAGAAAAATAAAATTCAGTGTACTGGTTCTTTTGGAACAAGGTTTCACACACGATGTCCCTTGGGCCAAATCTAACCCACTGCTGATTTTTTAAATAAAGTTTAATTGGAACACAGTGACATTTTTGTTTGCTTTTTGTCTATGTTGCTTTTACATCATAGCACCAGAGGTGAATGGTTGCAACAGAGACCACATCCCTGCAAAGTCTAAAATAATTATTTGCCAACCCCTGTTGTAAAGTCATTCCGTATCTTGGTTAAAAGGCTTTGGAGTTAACTGATCTGAATTTGAGTCCCTTCCCTGCCACTCTGTGCTTTGGAACTTGGCCTCATTTTCCCTGTCACAGAATGGGGCTAGTTCCTGCTGCATAAGGTGGTTGTGAGGATTAATAGAGCTAAGGCCTGGAAAGTGTGTAACTGAGTCCCTTGCACAAAGTATTAATTCAGCAACAGCTTAAATGAAAAACAATGGGGTCACATCCCACTTGGGACTCAAGATTCAAAAATCTACAAGGACAAAAGTGCAAAACCCAAGAATAAATTTTTTAAAAATCACCTCTGAAAACCTCTTAGGATAGTGGCCAATAGAGACAAACATACTGTATTCCACTAAGTTCAACACAGTGCAGGTTTCCTCTCCAGCAGTTAAATAGGTCACTACTCCTTCAGTCGAGACTCCTTCAGATGAAGTAGCTCACATTTAGGAATCATGTAGGAACAAAATCCGTATATTCAAACACAAAACTCACACTCAGTGTGATGAGACACTTACTTTGAAGAACTGAGGGCTCAAAACAGACCATAGATATACCCTCTTTGTCCCAGAAAAATACCTTAATTTGAATTTCTGTAAATTAATGAACATCTTTTTAAAGGCATGAATAACTACCTCATAGAGTTGCCATGATAACAAAATGAATTGTCATATATGGTGGATGATGGTAACAGCAGTTTTGTTTGAAACTCCATTGTGAATTCCATTTTGATGTCTGATGTGTATGGGGAACTACGAGGAACACCTGCCCCTTATAATTTTGCTTTTCCACACTGACTGGGGCCAGGGTATTATTTGTAAAAATCCCTCCAAATGGAAAGGATTAAATTATTACAATGACATGTATTTACCTGAGAGAAAACCAGTAGTTGATGAGGCTGGAAACTATCACGTAGAACACGATGATTGTCCCTGACATGGCAAGTGACACGAAGCCCAAGCCACAGAGGACACAAAGCAGTGAGAGGCCACCCACAGAGATGACCAGTCCTAGAGGAGAGCATGATTAGAAATTCTCATCTAAAACAGCTGAACACTGCCAAACCCTGCACCACTGTGTTTGAAACAACAGTAAAATCAGATTTTTTTAAATAAGAAAGTACATTCTGCATAAAGTGGGGTCTGTGAGAAAAAACAGTAAAAGCTACAATGGAAGGTGTATGGACTTTCACAGAAGACATGCCAGAGTCTGATGCTAGTTAAATCATTCATGGTGGGACTCTGGGCCTTGTGGAGCTTCTGTTTCACTCATTTTTAAAAAGAGTAAAATAATAAAAACTCCTAATGTTGACATGGCAGCTAAATGACTTACTACAGGTGTAATAGACTGTGGTAGCTTTTGTCTACCCAAGTTTCCCTTGCCTCCCTCATAACAAAATTCCTCTTTCCAAAGTAGAACTAATAACATGGAAAATGATGTATGGCAAACATCCTTCCCTATGCCTTGAGAGTGAACAAATAGTCCAGAACTCCATGCCCATGGCCACAGTGATAGTTTCAGGGATGGGCCCAGAAAAAGAAGGAAAACAATATAAACAAAGTGCTGCCTTCTCATAAAGACTTACCAAATCCTAGATCAGTATTGTTCAAAATGTGGCCAATAACTACTGCATCAGAATCAGATGCATCGGAGAGGCTAGTTAAAAAATCAGATTTCTGGGCCCTACTACAGACTTCATCTCTGGATGAGGCCTGGAAGTCAGCATTTTCAAAAAAGCAAGTAAGGCTTATGAACAGTCAAGTTCAAGAATCACTGATCTAAAGGCTTTGCCTATGCTGTTCCTTCTGTCTAGAAAGCGCTTCCTTGCCCAAGTTGTCACTTGGCAAACCAAGTTGCCAAAGGAAACCAAGTTGTCACGCATCTTAAAGTCCTGTCTTCAGTAAAGCTTTGCAAGATACTACCGAAATGAAAGGGACCCCATCTTTCTCTTTAAATTCACTTTTGTAGTAGTACTCATTCATTCCTCCACCTATTTATTTGCCCCTCTGTCTATCAATATTTACTGAACGGCCATTTGCCAGAATATATGTGGCTCACCGATCTTCCCCTTCCAAGTGTAAACTGCCTTATCCACAGTCCCCTGGACAGAGAAATAATTCTGGGTGCTCTTAGCTCTGGGAGGCCATAGGACAAACCTGAAGTGATTGCCTAACCCAATGGCAACCATCTCTTTGGCCAGTATGGTATGGTATGGTTTGTGACCTGATTTGAAAAGGGAAACTAAGCCAGAGAGATTTGCTTTCTAAGTAATTTTAACTTAGTGACACAGTAAGAAGTTGGGAATTGGTAGTGGAACTTCAAGAGGAAAGGTGCAGAAGGGGGAACCTCAGTACCTAGCAAGGCACCTGGCAGGCAATAGGTACTCAATAATTAGTTGTAGAGTAAATTGCCTCTCTGTTTAACGACAATAGTTAGCATTCATGTAGATGCTACTCTGTGCTGCAGATTGTGCTAAACACTCAATGAAAATGTTGGTTTTAATCCTCACAACAATGCTTTGAGGCAGTATTATTATATCCTTGGTTTACAAACAAGGAACTTGAGGCTCTGTGAGGGTCAACAACTTGTACAGAATTGCACTGGTGGAGGTGAAATTCTAATGCAGACTACAGAGTCCCTGTTTTAACTACTCTGAAAAGGTGCCTCAGTTAAAGTGATTTTGGTAAGAACAAGCACTTTGACAAGAGTTGTAGATGCCCAATACATACTGTCCTCCCAAATGAGTCTTTTTTCAAGAGGACAAATAACTGAGCAGAATACCTTCCAGTAATACGACTCCCACAAAGGCAGCCAAGGAGGTAAGTAACACAATGAGCAGGAAGAACCCAATAGGAATGGCTGACACTACAGCAAACATCAGCAAGGTAAGGGCCACAAAAGGATGCTTGTCCACGTACTGACCCACTGGAGACTTCATCAAGGCAACCACCTGCAGGCAAAGAAGAAAGAGCCAGGACTGAATGCCATGTCTGAATACCAGATTGATGCATCTGCCCTAGCTGCAGGAATCATAGCCAGCAGTCATAAAGTTGGAAGGCTCCAAAGTAAGAAGTCAACACAATAACAATCCTCCCAAGACATAAGTCATCATGTCAACAACCTAAGGCAGCTGGGGCCCCACCCAACCTCAAGTCTTGTGAAAGGGGAAAAAGAACCAGCCATGACTCTGCCACTGAACACACACCGTTCCAGAAGACACCCTCAGCATATGTGTGCACTGAGGTACTGTGCATGCAATTTGCCTCTTACTTCACAGCTGAGGTTTGCACAGTTGAGGTCAGAGGCACAGAGAGGTTAGGTCCTAGCTACTCCAGGCATCACCTGGGAGCTTGTGAGAAATTCAGTATCTTAGGCCCTGGCCCAGACCTGCTGAATCAGATTCTGCTTTTTAATGAGATCCCCCTGTGATCTGTACACCCATTAAAGTTTGAGAAACAGTGATCTAAATGACTTGCCTAGAGTCACACAGCTTCCAAGTGGCAAAATCAAGCCATTCAAAGCTAAAACCTTTCACTTATACATCAAATGCTTTCAATGACTACCACCTCATTAAGAAAAATCCCTTCACACCATCAAGCTGGACACCACACAGATGGGCCATATATAGCCTGATGACTACTGCAGGCTTAAGCTGCATTAAGAAATGGTTATCTTTCTTCACCAAGTAAAAGCATGTTGTGGTCTAGCTCAGTGGAGGAGGACTGCTTTAATGCAGAGCTGAGCCTAGGCAACTCCACAAGGATGGGCTTCCTCTCTTTTTAGGCCCCACACTGGCTCTCCCCTCAGTACTGACATGCTAGTCCCTGCTCGCTTGAAAGGTTCCATCATTCTAGGTCTTTTTCCAGTAAAAACTGGTCCTTCCTGTGTCTCATTCCTTAAAGACCTGTAAACCAGCAGCCGAAATGAAGACATAATTCAAGCTATAGTGACCATGGGTACCATGACCCAAACACGTGTGCCATCTAGAAATAGCTATTCACCCAAGTAATTCAAATGGTGGGAGTCTGGGGACAAGTTGGAAGCAGTAGGATTTTGTAGTTTAATTTGATAGTGACAAAAGTGCAGGGCTCACTCTGCTTAACTAGAAAAGGCCACTCTAAAAAGTCACAGCCAACAGACTTGAAGCTTCAGCGTTGCCTCCTGAGAACTTCCAGGGCAAGACAAATAACACATCCTATCAGGCCACAAAATGGTATAATGCCCACTGGCTACACTGCCTCCAGCTAGTCCTTTCTGACAAAAGCTGTCAAGGGCTTGACTATTCAGTCTCTCTAGCCAGAGGGTACAGTGCCAGTATCACCTCTGGGCTAAGACTACCCAGCTCTGATAACTGTAGTATCAGAACCAAGTAAGGTTCTTCTGGTAGGATACCTGTAGGTAAGAGAGGACAGAGGGTCACAGGAGTGGGAGTGACCCCTTGAGTTGTCTCAGATCTTGACTGCTTTCAGGTTCCAGTCCACACATATCCTTAGTAAGTTCCCCAGGCATCCTCTGACTGGCTGATCTCTTCTCTGTGATTCTTATAAACAGTCCGAGTAACCACAGTGGGGAGGAGCAGATGATGCCAGAATACAGGATGCCAGCACAGTGGCTGTTGAGCACTTGAAATGAGGCTTGTGTGACTGATGAAATACATTTTTTATTAAATTTCTATTTAAAAACCGAAATTTGATTCAGTCATTGGAAAGTTTGTTTTGTTCTTTATCCTCACACAAGAACATTTTTTTATTGCTTTTGTGGGGGGTGGGAAGTGGGACGTAGGGAGAGATAGAAACACCAGTTGGTTGCCTTCTCATACCTGCCATGACCAGGGACTGAACCTGCAACCTAGGTATGTGCCCTGACCAGGAACTAAACATGTGACCTTTCAACCTATGGGATGACACTTCAAGCATCTAATCAAATTGGCTGGGGCTGGAAAGTTTTTGATTACATTTCAAATAAATCATGTATGTCTCAAATACATTTTCAACTGTAAATTTTATGAAATCTGAATAGAGATCAAGTATTTCCAACAAAAATTTAGCATTTGGATTGAGTGCCCTAAGTATATTAAAAAAAGGATATAAAATATCTCATTAATAATTTTTTTAAAAAAATAGATTACATGTTGAAATTACACTGTTTTGGATATACTGAGCTCTATAAAATATATCATTAAAATTAATTTCAATCATGGCTGGTGTGGCTCAGTAGATTGGGCATTGGCCTGCTAACCACAGGGTTGCTGGTTCGATTCCCTGTCGGGGCACATGCCTGGGTTGCAGTCCAGGTTCCTAGTAGGGGATGCTTGAGAGACAACCACACATTCATGTTTGCCTCCCTCTCTTTCTCCCTCCCTTCCTCTCTTTATAAATAAAACCTTTTAAAAGATTTTTAAAAAATAAAATTTGCAACAACAAAAATTAATTTCACTTGTTTCTTTTCTATGCTTTTTAATGTGACTACTAGAAGTTTTAAAAATATATAGATGGCTTACATATTTCCATTGGAAATTGAAAGAAAGAAAGGAAAAATGGGAAGCAAACTATTGGCATTTGGGCATATTGTCATATAGTCAGAAAATAATTCAAAAAGATGGGTAGGGGACTGAGCAAGACGGTGGAGAGCTGAATGGAAGTCACACAGACCTCCTCCCAGGACCAATCTGGAAATACAACTAAATTGTGGAGAAATCACCAGGAACAAACAACTGAACAATAGCGAGAGAGGAGCCTTATAACCTTGGGCAGACAGAATAATCAGCTTTAGCACAACATGAGTGGTAGGGAGTGCAGTGGAGACTTGAGAAGGCTGACTGGGCGCCCACAGGCAGCAGTGCCAGAGGGATATTTAAGCAGCCAGTTAGATCCCCCTGAGAAGAGTGGGGTCTAAACCATAAGTGGGAATCCCCAGCCTATAGCACCAGAGCCCAAAAAGTAAACAAGATAACAGCCAGCTATGAAAAGGGCAGGGTTGCTCTCTGCCAGAGACAGGTGGCTAGAGACACAAAGAGCCATTTAAAGGGCAAACACATGAATTTTTATTTGCAGTCATGTACCCTGGGCTCTGGCAAAGGTGGACACAGAGTGGGCTAGAGACGCCTAAGGAGAGACTAGGGATGGAGGATTTGGGGAGAGAACTGAGGGAATAACGGGCAGGATCCTAGGGCTGAGTCATTCCCTGTATGGCAGCAGCCATCTTGCTCAGGCAGACCACTCCCCTGAGCTGCAACAGCATGGGAAGAAACAACAGCCCCGCCCCAGAAGGGACTCTGTCCTGCCCTGTGGTGTCTAAGCCTGACTGCTGAGTGCAGACTGACTAGATTAACACCTAAAGGAGACAGCCACTAGAGTACATTCCTGGAAGTCTCCAACAGAGTGCCTAGGGTCAGATGGGGTCAACATATGATATCACCAAAGGCAGATCCAGAAACAAAAAACAGCAGTAAATACTAGAGGCTACCGAGACAAAATCCACTGGTTCTTCTCCATGATTTGAAATATTTTCCCTACTACATAGCTTTTTAACATTCATTTCAGGTCCATCAAGTTTGTGCATATTAAATCATTAGATTGCATTCTAATAGTTTATTTCTCTCCTTTCTTATAATACTCTTAATCTCCTTACACTCTTATCAATACTGGTTCATTTGCTGTTGATAGTGGGATTCCACGGGGAAGTTATTTTTGTGGCTGTGGGTCTGTTTCCTGGGCTTTGTGGTTTTGTTCTAGCAGTGCATGCACAAAAAACACACAGGATGTGGTGGACAGAGTGAAACTCAGTCAACCAGCCAGAGGAAAGGAACCACCAAAGAATGACCAAACAACAATCAAAATACAGTTACTTCCAGAGAGCTAACATTAATGGCATAAAAGGCATCCCAAGAGCTTCAAGTTCAAAAGATCAAGGAGACACAAGTACAGAATCTCACGGGTCTCCTATCATAGAATTTCATACCACAAAGCGAGAAGTCAAGACAGATCAATTTAAGAAGCAGAAGCAAAAAAAAGTAAGAGTCTCACAAATGATGGGAAGACAAACAAACAACTGAAAGAAAAGAAAAGTTCTCTGAGAAAGAGAACTAAATAAAATAGTTGCAAGTCAACTATCCGATATTAATTTCAAAATAATGGTTATAAGGAAACTCAATGAGCTCACTGAGCTCAGAGAGAAGTACCAAAAACTACAGGGAAACTATGAGAAACTTAATGCAAACTATATCAGCATGAAAAAGAACATAGAAACTATCAACAAGAAGCAAGAGGAAATGAAGAATACAGTTTCTGAATTGAAGAACACAGTAAACAGAATCAAAAGCAGGTCTGACAAAGGAGAGGACTGAATCGGCGAGCTGGAAGACAAGGAAGAAAAAAGCTCCCAGAAAGATCAAGAAATTGGAAGAACACTCAAAAAATGACAGAATCAAAAGCAGGCCTCATAAAGCAGAGGACTGAATCAGCAAGCTGGAGGACAAGGAAGAAAAAAGCTCCCAGAAAGAGCAAGAAATTGAAAGAACACTCAAAAAATGAAGAGTCTTTAAAGAAAATGCAGGACAACATGAAATCTAATAATATCCGTATAATAGGGATACAAGAAGAAGAAGGGGAGCAAGGGAAAGAAACCTGTTTGAAAAAGTAATGACAGAAAAGTTCTCTAATTTGAGGAAAGAAAAAGTCACACAATCTAGGAAGCACAGAGGGTCCCAATCAAGAGAAACCGAATGAGGCCCACTCCAAGACACTTTATAATTAAACTGGCAAATATCAAAGATAAAGAGAGAATCTTAAAGGCAGAAAGGGACAAACAGAAAGTAACATACAAGGAAAACCCAATACAGCTAGTAGCTGACTTCTCAGCAGAAACAAGCCAGATGGGAATGGCAGGAAATACTCCAAGTAATGAAAAGCAAAGGCCTGCAACCAAGACTACACTCCCGAGCAAGGCTGT